TATATATATTTTTTCTAAATTTATTTCTTCAATGTAGAGTTCAACTTCTGATCTTTTGCATGTCTTTATTTTCTTTCTATTTCTATTCTATTGTCCCTAATCACCATTACTTAGAAATCTAACTTCAACCGTTTCTGCATGCACCTCTACTAATAGCTGGCTTTTCCTTTAATTACCTTACCTAAAATTCTATATTGTTCAACCTCTTCAATTCTACGTATTTCTGTAAGCTCGTGTCTTCAACCCGTATTGCCAGTCTTTGTCTATCTTGAGTATTCTATCTCTTTTTACTAACATTTTCCTACTATAAATACTCCTAACATCCCTATTAATTTTAAACCAAGCGGCATGGCCTAGAGGTCTAGCCCATTGCTTAGCATTCGGGAGGACCCCGGTTCGATTCCGGGTCCGTCTGCCTTGGTCCAAGTTTTTCTGTGGTTTCCTTGGATCACTNTCTGTTCACATCTTGGTTGAATTGTGACATGATGTAGGACTTTGTTTTTATTTGTTACGTTTAAATTTAACAAAAATCTTTTGATCCTAAGTCTAAATCTGCCACTTTATGAAAGTTCTCTATACACCTTACACTGACTGTTTAATTACCCGGTCGAAAATGAGAACGCCCATGGATTGCACCACATTGTTCAACTGGAAGCGAATTACTTGGCTGAAAATGGGGTCAAATATTTCAGGATCAACGATGTTTCTTCTAAATGTAAACAACTTGCTGAAATAACCTTGTGCGCTAATATACCTCAAACACCAATTAACACCAAGGACTGTGAAATAAATTTGGTCTCAAGAGAAGATAACCATGGTTGCCATATTCACACCTTGAAAATGGAGGGTAATCACCCTATTGGAATATCGGACAACAATTGGCTTCTCATTGTTACATCAGAGACATACATCCTTTCAAAGTGTCCTGGCCAAGCAATTGAAAGCTCAACTGTAACAGCTTCGTGTCTTTTATCGATGACACCTGGTTGTTCCGTTTACTTGGAGGCCGGTACTACAATTCGGGCCCAAAATAATAACACAAAAAATACTACCCTCAAAAGTGATTTATCACCCATACATGTAGTCTGCTGTAATCATGATGTAGAAAAATTAAAAGAACTTCAACTAGAATCAATTAAAATTTCACAATTTCATTTCGGAGATACCAATGCACTCAGAGATGAACTTCAAGAATTCAAGGATAGAACAGAAGAACTATACAATACACCTTTGAAACACATGAAGAGAAACTTCTGGAAATACGCCCTCAGTTTCTGTGCTACAATTTTGTTAAGTTGTTGTTGTTGTTACTTGTGTTGTTCAATGTGCGTGCGATTAGTGAACACGTTAAGACCTGTTGCGTTGGTGAATCAAACAATAACCATTTGTTGCGAGTCAAAAATTAAAAATCGAAAGAAAACAGACAATTTTTCCAATAATGAAATAGAAGATCAAGACCATGTAGAGTTATCACCTTTACGAAATAAAACTGATTCTTTATAATATTTGCTGTTTTATCCATATTGTTTTTCTGATTTTTATAAATTTTAATTGTACATGTATAAAAATTAACTAACAGGAGAGGAAATTGTTATATCTGTGGCGAAAAGAACTCGTATTGTTTTTTTTTTGTGTAAATATTTTGTATATATATTTTTTCTAAATTTATTTCTTCAATGTAGAGTTCAACTTCTGATCTTTTGCATGTCTTTATTTTCTTTCTGTTTCTATTCTATTGTCCCTAATCACCTATACCTAGAAATCTAACTTCAACCGTTTCTGCATGCACCTCTACTAATAGCTGGCTTTTCCTTTAATTACCTTACCTAAAATTCTATATTGTTCAACCTCTTCAATTCTACGTATTTCTGTAAGCTCGTGTCTTCAACCCGTATTGCCAGTCTTTGTCTATCTTGAGTATTCTATCTCTTTTTACTAACATTTTCCTACTATAAATACTCCTAACATCCCTATTAATTTTAATTCACCTGTGCTCTCTACATTCGACAGTCTAGTAAGTCTCTTTTCCTGTTGTAAATTGTTATTTTTATTATTATTAATGTTGTTATTTCTTTGTGTGTTTTGGCTGTTGTGTTTTATTTTTAGCATCTGTTTGTTTTGTTGTTTAATTTGTTGTTGGCACTTAAATTAATAATTGTACAAAAGTCACTAAAGTGGTGACCCCGAAATTCGTGCAGTTAACAAGTTTGTGCCAAATTGAACTAATATAAACAGAACTATGACCACCGAAAACAGCGCTGCTACATCGATCGATCGCGTTTCGGTAAAGTGCCAGCCTTCATCCTGTCGGATCCAGAACTATGGTTTTCCATATTGGAAGGCAGTTTCGATGCTGCGGGAATTGTGCAGGACAACACCAAGTTCGGGTACGCGTTAAGTGGTTTAGATCAAAAATACGCCCTCGAAGTTCGCGACATTATTGTGAAACCGCGCAGCTAATGGACCTACCTTCTGTTAAAAAGTGAACTGATTAAACATATGGGTGCATCACAGGAGCAAAATACAAGACGGCTACTGGAAAATGAACCACTTGGCGATCACAAACCGACGCAGTTCCTACGTCATTTGCGCAACCTTGCAGGCCGTCATTTCCCCGAAGAAGATTTGCAGACCCTCTGGGTAATAAGCCTTCTCAAACATATCCAGGCCTTATTAGCTGCACACAAAGATTTACCACTGAAAAAGAGAGCAGAGATCGCCGAGACCATAATAGAAGCTTATGGACAATTCAACAACGTGGCTGAGACTTCCACTACAAATGCAGCAGTAAACAGTAGGTTAGTTTTTTTAGAAAATGCTCTAACCACAGCGCTACAAGAATTAGCTTCCCTAAAAATCAGTCGTGAACCGCCACACCAGCCTTGGCGTTTCCGGCCGAGATCACGCTAGCGTTCGCATTCACGACCAAGGGAGAATAAGGACATTTGCTGGTACCATCTTCGCTTCAGCACTGATGCAAGGAAATGTACCAAACCATGCAAATTCGAAGCCAACACTCAGGGAAACGACGTGGGCAGTCGTTGATGGCGTCCGACGACAGCAGCCCTATACTATCACGCTGATTATTCATTACCGATGGGTCTACGAAGATACGTTTCTTTACCGACACTGGTGTCGACCTCTGTGTGTTCCCGCGCTCGGAACTTCCGGAACCACGGGAAAAATCCAATTACGAACTTTCCGCTGCCAACGGTACCATCATCGCAACATATGGGACACTCACGTTAACCCTCGATCTCGGACTTCGACGACAGTTCACGTGGCGATTTGTCGTGGCTGACGTTTCGAAGCCAATCATCGGCGCCGACTTTTTGTTGCACTTTGGTTTACTGGTGGACATGAAGAACAAACGTCTCCTGGACTCAATCACCCATCTTAACTCCCAGGGGAAGGTAATTGAGTGCGAGTCACCGTCCATAAAGACTGTTTCTGGTTCGTCATTATTCCACGACCTGCTACAACAATTTCCGGGGACAACCCGACCAGGAGGCACTCCTTTGTTTACGAACCATTTCACGAAGCATCATATTATCACCACTCCCGGACCACCTGTAGCGCAACGACCACGACGACTCGCTCCCGACAAGTTACGTGCTGCGAAAAAGGAATTCGAGGCCAAGAGTCCCTGGTCATCACCGCTGCACATAGTTCCTTAAACAGGCGACGAATGGAGACCGTGTGGCGATTATCGTGCCCTCAACGCCAGGACGTGCCCTGGTCGATATCCGGTCAAGCACATTCAGGACTTTTCGCAGACGCTCAGCGGAAAGACGATATTCTCAACTATAGACTTGGTACGTGCGGTCAACCAGATCCCAGTTGCTGAAGGGGATGTTCCTAAAACAGCCATAACGACACCCTTTGGCCTCTTCGAATTTACACACATGAGCTTCGGTCTGCGCAAACCTTCCAGCGCTTTATTGATGAAGTTTTGCAAGGCCTGGAATTTTGCTATGCCTACGTAGACGATATTCTAGTTGCTTCTGTGTCATTGGAAGAACATCTGGACCATCTGCGGACTTTATTCGGTAGGCTACAAAAATATGGAGTAGTCATCAATCCATCCAAGTGCGTATTTGGTGAACCGGAAGTCAAATCTCTTGGCTACCGTGTTTCCGGAACCGGTACACACCCGTTGCCCGAAAATGTGGATGCAATTAGATCCTTTCCGCTCCCGCAGACTGTCAAGAAACTTCGTCAATTTCTTGGCATGGTAAATTTATATCGAAGGTTCGTCCCGAAGGCAGCGAAAATACAAGCGCATGGTAGAACGGCTCCACAGCCAGCTAAAAGCAGCCATAATGTGTCACCAGACCAATTCCTGGACGAGAACTGCCGACCGTACTACTAGAGATCCGTTCTGCCTGGAAAGAGGACTTGCAAGCCACCACAGCAGAGCTACTGTACGGAGAGACGTGACGACTTCCTGACGAATTTTTAGGATCACATCCCGATTTTAATACCCACGAGGACGCCTCAGAATACGTCAAGGAACTACGTACAACACGACAACAATTACGACCGCCCGAGAACGACGCCATGAGGATAAAAAAACATTTATCTTTAAAGACCTTGGTACGACAAATCAGGTTTTTATTCGCCGCGGTGGCCCGAAGGAATCTCTACAGCAACCCTACGAAGGTCCTTATCCTGTTGTTCAACGTGCGGAAAAAACCTTCGTCGTCAACGTCAAAGGCCGTGACGTAACGGTTCAGTCGATCGTCTTAAACCGGCCTACGTCATTGCAGAACCACCGGCCACAATAAACGAAGACATCCCTGCAAGCGTTGAAATGCCACCACAGCTGCCCTCCAGCGAGCCGACCATAACCAAACAACTAGGGCTGGAAGATGAGTTCGTTTCCCGGATCGCTTACAGGCAGGTTTCCCGTAACCGTAACGCTCTGTTACTAGCAGGGAGGTACTGTGACTAAAAGAACTCGTATTGTTTTTTTTTTGTGTAAATATTTTGTACATNTTTGTATATATATATTTTTTATATTTATTTCATCTATGTAGAGTTCGACTTCTGATCTTTTGCATGCCTTTTTTTTCTTTCTATTTCTATTCTATTGTCCCTAATCACCTTTACCTAGAAATCTAACTTCAACCGTTTCTGCATGCACCTCTTACTAATAGCTGGCTTCAACCTGTATTGCCAGTCTTTGTCTATCTTGAGTATTCTATCTCTTTTTACTAACATTTTCCTACTATAAATACTCCTAACATCCCTATTAATTTTAATTCATCTGTGCTCTCTACATTCGACAGTCTAGTAAGTCTTTTTTCCTGTTGTAAATTGTCATTGTTATCATTGTTATTGTTGTTATTATTATTATTGTTGTTATTTCTTTGTGTGTTTTGGCTGTTGTGTTTTATTTTTAGCATCTGTTTGTTTTGTTGTTTAATTTGTTGTTGGCACTTAAATTTTGGTTAATTGTTTAAATAGTGTACAAAAGACACTAAATATCTATCGATTGTACACAATGTCTACTCTTATCGCAACCCTGACCTACTATAAAAGCTCCCGAATCTGGGTACTCTGTTAGATTCTTTCGGACCGAGTACGCATCGTCCGATTGAATTAGTATATCTACTGTTTTGTAGCTCTATACCTTTATATTATTATTATTATTAAATAAAGTTTGAGTTCGTTTAATTAACATTAATATTTTAATATTTTACAGACCCAGATTACGGTGGAATTTTACTAGTAGAATTCTTAAAAGCAGGTAAATTATTACAAAATATATGTTACAATTATTGATGATATTTACATTAATTACTGTACACAATATGTGACTAAATGTATTATTACTATTTACAACATATTTACATTAATTAAAAAATGAATTTATTGATTACTTATTATTATTATTATGAACAGGTTGTGCTGTTAGAATGGAAGATATACAAGTGAAGATAATTGCATTGATGTAATGATGAATATGTACCAGCCAGCCACCAAAATGATTAAGAATGTGAGTAAATTACTATTGTTTTTAATGAAATATCAATGTTCATAATCTAATCACTACTGAATCATAGTTTTTAATATAATTTAGATTAGATTAGAATTAGGTTTCTGTAGCTATTTTATAACTTAATTGTACTAATTTCAACTACCGCATCTAACTGGAAAGAAGACGAAACCTTTCTTTTGATTGACTGCTACCGGAAGGAAGATATTCATCTACTGGTACAAAAACCAGATGTTTCTGCTGCTCTGCAGAGATGTGTCTCCACTTTTAATTCTATTTCATTAGAGAAAAAAGGTAAAACTGTGCCTTTTTCAAAATGTTCATCAAAAATAAATAGCTTAAAAAGAATTTATCGAGAAAAGCTCGATTTAAAAAATAAATCCGGTGGAGCATCCATTACTTGGACTTATTTCGAGGTATATAATCAAAACACCGTCTCTAACCTTATTTTATTAATTCGATGATACAACTACGTTGTTTTTCGACAGGTTTTACATGAACTATTTCAGAAAGAGAACTGGGTGAAACCGCTATCTGTTGCCGAAAGTGCTGTTCCAACGAATTTAGGTAATTTGTTTTGTACATTTCAAGTTGGAAATCAATTTAATTATCTTTTCACTGAAATAGATGTTCAGGTCTCGGAACCACAACCCAAGCAAGCTAAACCTCTACAAACATTGCTGGAAGAAATAAAAGTGGACAGACATGTCAAGCAACAGTCTGATGTTTTAAAACATAAGGAGAAGATGACGAGGTTGGATCGGTTTAATGACTGCATGGAGTCAATGGCACAAAGCTTCTCTATAATTGCTGCTGGGAATAAGGCCAAACTAGACCGTGATAGTTAGGCGTTATGATTCGAGGAATCACTTTTTTCATTGTAATTTTAAGAAGTTTTGAAATTACCAAAGTTAATGAATACTTAAAAAATAAGCAGATCTAATTAGATCTTAGTCTTGTTCGGATCTAATTATATCTGACTGGGTAATCTGCACAGATCTAATTAGATTGGCACAAATCTGGTTTAATTTAATTATGCAGTATGATCAGACCTGTGCAGGCTACCCAGATCAGATCTAATTAGATCTAGATAAAACTAAGTTCTAATAATATATGATTATTTTTTTCTAAGAAGAAATAAGTTGATNAGAACCTTACCACACCCATTTAAAATACATTTTACCCGTAGATTTAGATAGTTGCATACTAGCCTGTCGTAATTATGATGACCAAGAACAACAAACCCATTTCTTAAATTTCATGAGATCAAAAGAACAAAAACCCAGACAATTATTTACCCAGCCACAAATTAAACGACAAATACAACCTTTCCAAATGCATTATCCCCAACAACAAATCAATTTCCCTACATTTAATACTCCACAAAAAACCAATTTCCCAACAGGTCCGATCCAAATGCCTAAACCTGTACCCGTTAAACAAAATTATCCTACAAATAAACAAGTTTTTGGAAGTAATAACACCAACGTTTTTAAACCTTATCAACAAGAATCTTTCAACGAACCTACCCCAATGTCCATTAGTACTAGAAATACATTTCAACCCAGACAAAATACCTCCGACAACTTTTTCCAGAATTACGGACAAAAGCCTAACTATATAGTAGAATATTAATCTACGTAGTCTAGGATAGTCATCATAACGAATAATTCCTAAGTAAGGTCAAACTGTCAAACTTGCAATATATACGCTTGATCTCCTAGCAAATGACTGTCTTGAGGAAAACTAGCAGGAATACACAGATCCTGTAATCCCGAAAGTCGAAAAACTCTTGAATCGTGAACAGATCCTACTTTGCCAGCATAAACATGTGTAAATTTTAAAGTGTGGTCGCAGACAACCTAAAAAAATGTAATTCTTATATGAGTTACTGTATAAGAAAATCTTGAGATGTGATTTTTTGTGGGTTAACACATTATTGCTTATGTGCAGCCACATGAAAACTGATTAAAAATTCGTTGATAATTACTTGAGTCTGTATAGAATGCCTTTCTTTCCTGTTAATATAATTGTGTGTATTCACATGTGGTGCCGCAATAGCTACATGGGTTCCATCAACTGCTCCTATTACTCCAGGAAATCCGAACCTTGTTTTCACATAGGTTAAAGTTACCAAAGCTTCTTGATTATTAGGCCACTTGATGAAGGTTGGCAAATACTTATATAAGGCTCCTATAAATCTCCAGACGATTCTCCAACCAGTTTACTTACCAATATTAAAACGCTCGCAAACAGATGTGTAAGTGCGAAAAATCAAAATTTTTGTATATATAATATATTTTATAAAATAAATTAGGGTTTTTGTTTACCTATAAGAATCTGGTGTGGCCATCATCCAATGACCCATCAGAATTTGTGTGTAAATAGGAGTAGGACATCTACCAACGCTGCCAGGCACTGTAGATAAATCTAATCCCAGTAAATCCATCAAATAATCTGCCGTGCTTCTTTCAACTCTCAAATAAATGATATTAACATTCGAAAAAATATATAATAACATATATTTAACAACAATATAACAAATTACCTAAAATGACTCTTAAATGTCTTATTTGACATACGCAGAACAGTATAGGCAATGTAATTCTGAATTTTCGGAATTTCTTCTTCTCTTTCATTATTACAACAAAAAGCAAGCAACATCTCATCATCATCAGAATCACTATCAGATGAGTCAAACTGTGTTTCAACAACAACACGACATATTGTTACTACTACTGGTATCTCCATTTTAATAAATAGATGAAAATAAAAATTTTATGTTATAAAAACTTTAATAACTTTCGGAGCTAAATTGTTGTAAATGAGCACAAACACTATTCTCAATATGGCGTCAATTTATGACGTCAACGCACTGGCCAGTATATTTCGGAACGAATCAGCAGTATGACGTCGATTCATAACGTCAAAACCTTAATTACTTAAAATAGTATAAATATTGAATGTTATTGTTTTTTAAAGTTGAATTCTTATACTGTTATTATGCTCTATTCCTTTCCGAGCAAAACAAATCAGTGCAACCTAGTGTTTTACTTTTTAAAAATACGATTGTGGTTCACGATTCTTTAACTGGCTCTGCGAACAGGATCCAGAAGAAGTTCCTCTACGGTTCCTACAACTTTCTACGTTGGAAACTGTGTGAACTCCAGGTGGTTTCAACCCCGAGATTCTGGATTCAACGAAAGGAAAGAAAAAGCAAGTAAGGAATTCTCATCTTATTTTCTACGGATCATCAGAACAAAGGAAACAATTGTTGTTCATCTTTGGGACGAGATCGCTTACCAGAGGGAGTAAAACGGACCGTTCCTTGTTTCCCTTTCCTAGTCTTTAAGAAATTATTACAGTTTTGTTTATTTTATGTCCACAAAAATTGAGAAAGAATTATTAGAAACACTTAAGGAGGTCGAAATGTCTTTAACCTCAGAACAATTTAAATTTCGTTTTGATGTAGCAAAGGAATCCATTCCTTACTATGAAGGGGGTTCTGAAAATTTAAGCTTCTTTATACATCAAGTAGAATGGTTTTTAAGACATTTAACAACTAATGATAGTTTCCTTAATGAAATGCTCTTTAATTATATTAGTAGTAAGATAGGAGGTGAAGCTCGTTCTATATTAATCTCTAATCAGCCAAAAAACTGGCCAGAATTTAAATTGTTACTATTAAATCGCTTTGGTGATCCTAGATCAGAGCAAATACTTTTCAATTCGCTCAACTCCTGCTATCAAAAATCTAGTCAAAGTTATGAACAATACGCAGAGGAAATAAAAAAACGCCTAAATTCACTTAAAGAACATATTCAACTTAATATTAAAACAGACGTACTAGTCCAAAGTAAATTACAATTTTATAATGAAATTGCGAAAAAAACATTTATAGCAGGGATTAAAGAACCATACCACACCCATTTAAAATAAATTTTACCTGTAGATTTAGATAGTTGCATACTAGCCTGTAGTAATTATGATGACCAAGAACAGAACAACAAACCCATTTCTTAAATTTCATGAGATCAAAAGAACAAAAACCCAGACAATTATTTACCCAGCCACAAATTAAACGACAAATACAACCTTTCCAAATGCATTATCCCCAACAACAAATCAATTTCCCTACATTTAATACTCCACAAAAAACCAATTTCCCAACAGGTCCGATCCAAATGCCTAAACCTGTACCCGTTAAACAAAATTATCCTACAAATAAACAAGTTTTTGGAAGTAATAACACCAACGTTTTTAAACCTTATCAACAAGAATCTTTCAACGAACCTACCCCAATGTCCATTAGTACTAGAAATACATTTCAACCCAGACAAAATACCTCCGACAACTTTTTCCAGAATTACGGACAAAAGCCTAACTATATAGTAGAAGAATTACACAACAATGAGATAAGCGACGAAACTGAAATTATTAATAATAAAAGTCAAATAGGATATAGTAGTAAGGAAGTGGATGTTAATTGTTTTATAGATAATAGCGAAGAAGAAAAATTTGTAGAAAATGACTCACTAAGACCACAATACTTAATCGATCTTAACACCTTATCTAATCAACCTAAATTACCATTTATTTATTCTAATAAATTCCAAATTAAGGCACTTATTGATTCAGGTGCCTCCTCTTCAATTATAAATCCCGATATTGCTTATAAATATTTTTCAGAATTTATTTACCCTCATGATTTTGAAGTAATATCCTTACATAAAACAATACAAGGTACACACGCGGTAAAAATTCCCTTATTACATGAGTTTGGCGAACAACAAGATATACAATTTTTAATTTTACCCTGGCATAGTAAATATGATTGTTTAATAGGAAACAAAGATTTAAAATTATTAAATGCAACCTTACATTTTAATAATAAATTATTAATTACTCCTAATACGGTAATTCAATATCAAGAAGATGTAAACAAGTTACTTAATAATAATAAAAAACTTAAAGTAGATTTTAATAACTGCGACGTTTTAGTAGGTCCCATTATAACAAACGACCAAAT